CATTATATATATATATATATATATATATATATATATATATATATATATATATATATATATATAAATTTTTCTTTTTATTCGCCTGAGGGAAAAGAAAGATAGTAAAAGAATAAATGGTAGCAAAAAAAGAAAGAGAGATAGAGATAGAGAAAGAGAGAGATAGAAAATTATACGATTGACCCAAAGTAAAGTAAAAAAAAAAAAAAAAGAAAAATTATAAAGCCTTTTTTCTTTTTTTTGTTGTAATTAATTACTTTTTAAAAAATAAATTTATGACCGTAGTAAAATTATTATTATTATTATTTTCTTTTATCATTTTTATTATTATTATTATTATTTACAAAAGAAACCTTAAGTTAAAAAAAAAAAGAAAAATGTAAATAATATTAAATAAACTTCAGGAGGAAACAGGAAATGTTTCAAACAGAAGAAAGAAAGAAAGAAAGAAAGAGAGAGAGGAAGAGAGAAAGAAAGAGAAGGAAAGGAGACACAAACTTTCTTTAATTATCTTTGAAATTTGTGTGGTTTGTTATTTAACTAAATAATTCTTTCTTTGTCAAATTAAGAATAACATTAAACAAAAAAAAGAAGAAGAATAAAAAAGGAAAGAAAAGAAAAAAAAAACTTTGGAAATATATTATTACATTGTAGGAAAAAAGAAAAAAGGTTTTGTTCTATAGCTCGTTGCTATAAAAAAAAAATGGTATAGCAATTACGTCATTTTATAAATTTTTTTTTTTTGATTTATCACAAGTTTTTTTCGTACCAGATTACAATAAAAAGAAAAGAGAAGAGAATCCGGATTTTTTTTATATAAATATAATAATAAAAAAAAAGTCTAGACTTATTTATAGACTATATTTAACTACAACTATGACAAATAATAATAATAATAACTTTTTTTATTACAATATAATTGCTATGTAATGTTTTTCCTTTAATAATTTCACGTGTTGTTGTTTTTTTATTTTTTTTTCTCACCGCCTTATTGAAACTTTTTTTTTTTTGATAGACCACATTATTTTTTTGTAAAAATCAATAAAATATTTTTAAAACAGGTAAAAATTTCAATAATAATAACGACACGACAAAAAAATCTCTTCTTACACGTCTTTTTAATCGTTTAAAAAAAAAATTTTCTTTTTTTCTAATTTTAAAATGACCTAACGTTTTATGTTTAGCTTATGAATAAAGAAGGTTTTTTAAAAACGAATAAAATAATAGGTGTTAAAATTTATTTGTATTTATTTATTTATTAAATTTCGAACGTGGATTTAGAATGTAAAAAAAAAAATTACACGCACAAAAAAAATAAAAATGGTTTAGGAAAGAAGAAAAAGAAACAAGGGGAGAATAATAATGATAGTAATAATAATGATGATGATAATAATAATAGTTTCTTTAACGGGCGATTAATTTTATTATATAGAAATCGTCGTCGTTTTTTTTTCTTTTCATTGATAACAAGTTACACGTTAAAAGATGATGCTAATAAAAATTTTTCGGGGTGTTCTTTTTTTTTTTTTTCATTTATTGTTTTGTAACTTTTTTCTTTTTTTTATTTGATTCTTATTGGAAAAATTTTTACTTTTCCTATTCTCATTAATTTTCCTTTTATTTTTTTTCTTACGCGCTTTTTTCTTCCCCCTTCCTCCCCTTCTCCTTTCACCTTTTTCTCCTTTTTCTTTTATCGATTTTATTGACACGTGTATGTATACGTGTAATTTTTGATTTGAAAATTTTATTTTTATTATTATTATTATTATTAAGTTTTGTTCATTTTTCAAGGTTTTTATTAATTTAAAAACAAAAACAAAATAAAAAAAAATTATTTTCTAGGTTAGTAACGTGGGACAAGTAGTAATTTTTTTTTTAAAAGAACCGTTTTCCCTAATTAATAAATATAGAAAAAATGTTCAACTTAGAATACTTCCACGTAATAGAAACTTACGTTTTTATCGTATATACGGCATATTTTTAAAAGGAATATTTTTTTTAAAGTATTTTTATCTCTTTTTATCATTCCCTCTTTTTCTCTTTCTCTCTCTCTCTCTTTGTCTTTTTCTCATCAAAGAATCTCATCCCTTCTCTTTTCTTTTTTTGTTATTTTCCTTTCATTCAAATTAATTTTTAAACAGAATTTGAAGAGGTTTTTGACCATTTGAGTAAATAATTATTATTTGCATTGATAAATTCGTCTGCTTACCAAACCTTTCGATTCCTTTACTTATTTCGTATTAATTATTATTATTATTATTATTATTATTATTATTATTATTATTATTATTTGAAAATAAATAAAATGATATTAATAATAACAAACGTTAGGGCGATCAATTTTAAATTTCGTTTTGTTTGTTTGTTTGTTCGATCGTTTGTCGAATCTTTAAGTTGTTTAATATTAAATTAATAAATAAATCGTGAACATTAATAATAATAATAATAATAATTAATTGAGTAACATTTAATTTATTTTATTTTTTTTTTTTTAAATGATGAAATCAAAAAAAAAAAGAAAAAATTATTGAAGTGGTTTTAGAAAAAATTATTACTCGTTAAGTTTTGTTGACAGGCAATTTTTTTTTAAGAAAAAAAGGAAATTAAAAGGAAAGAAAGTTTTTTTTTGATTTTACATTTTTTTTTACAAAAAAGGAATCGACATCAATTTACAAAAAAAAAAAGAAAATGGCTGTCAATTATTTTTTTCTTATTCTTTAATTTTTCGGCGAGTATTTTATTTAAAAAATTAATACTTTTTTTCATCATCATTGTCATTACGTCACCTTGATAAAAAAATTTTTTTTTTATGTTAAACTTAAAAGAAGCGAGGGGGAGGGGAAACTCGATAAGAAAATAATAAAAAAAAAAAAAAATTTTTTCGGGAATGAAATTTTCCCGATTTTTCTTTTTCCCTTCCCTTCGAACCTAACTTTATCAAACCCTCTCCTCCTAATACCTCTTCCCCTTCATTCCATTTTACGTTTGGGAATGAAAAAAAAAAGAAAAAGAAATGTTTTGGAAAAATGAAATTTAAGACCTTGTAAAATCTTCTTCTCAGGAAATAGAAAACAATAGAAATGGAAGGTAGTTTAATTTAGAAATAATGCATGAAAGAACAAATAGAACGAATAAAAACAAAAAAAAAATCAATTTTTTCTTTTGCTTCCACTTTACTTTCGATTTAATATTTTTAGACGAATTTAAAAAAAAAAAAAAAAACGCTTAAAATATAAAATGATAAAAAAAAAAATTTTTTTTATTTAATTTGTACGTCGAAAAATTTAATTTAATTTAATTTTTTTACTTTTTTTTCATAGAGTTTTAAAAACACCCATTCAAAGGTAAAAAAAAAAAATGAAAGGAAAAGGAAAATGGATAAAATTTTTAAAAAATAATTTAAAATTCAAAGGTAAATTTAAAAAAAAATTTATTTTTTTTTTTTTTTAGCTCGGAGGGAATTTGAAAAAAAAAACAACCAAATTTTAAAAATTAATTCTAGAATTATAAGATTTAAATTTAAAGGTAGGAAGGGCGTCCCCCTGCCCACTCCTCACCCTCCGCCAAAACAAAACTAAAAGGAAAATATGTGACGTCATAATTATAAAATAATTATGTGACGTAAGGAAAAAAAAAAAATTTTTTTGGAAAGATTCGTTCGTTGAGTGGTTGTTTAGTAAAAAAGTCAAAAAGGTTACGAAAAAAGGATGTGAGGAGGGGGGAGGAAGAGGAAGAGGAGAAGGAAGGTTGGATACGTTTACAAAATTTTAGGTCCTAAAATTTAATGATGACGATGATGATGATGATGAATTACAAAAACCTTTTTATATTATTCCGAAAAAAAAAAAAATTTTTCTTCGAATTTCCCCTTCCTCTACTCCTCCTTGTCCTGTTTCTCTCGTCGTTTTTTTCTCCATATCCGGTTTTTGGACACGTCAAAATAAAAATCACCCCTTCCTTTCCCCTTTTTCCCTCCCTCTTTTTCCCTCCCTCTTTTTCCCTCCCCCTTTTTCCTCCCCCTTTTTCCCTCCCCCCTTTTTTTTTACATTTAACTTACGGATTTTATTAATTTCGTTCATTCGAATTTTTTTTTTTTTTATACGCGTGACAAAATGTAAAAAAAAAAAAAAAAAAATTGAATTCCCAGAATGACTTTCGTTCCTTTTTTTTTTATTATAAAAAAAAGGTCAAAAGGTTTTTTCTTTTTATTATAAATAATAAAAGTAAAACGATGTAAAAGGTTCATTAACGTGAATTAAAATATAAATAAATAATTTTTTTTTAAATTTCGTTCGATGATGAATAATCTACCGCAGAAATGCGGTGGGGAGAAGGGAAGGGGGTGAAGGAGAAAGAGGAGGAGGATGCGAAGGAAAGGAAAATTTATTTTACCCGACATTAACGTCAAATGAATTATCATTATCATTATCATTATAGGTATTTATAATAAAATAAAAATTCTTACCGTTGACGTCGAGTTCGACCCATGAAACCAACGGTTCGTCTAATGCGTCATTTTTAGCTCTGCATTCGTATTTGGCACCTAAATCACCTCGTCCGATTGTTATTTTTATTTTATTACGACCCGTTCCGATCCCGTTGGAATCCGATTCCATTTGTTTATCACCTGGAAAAATATTTATAAAACAAACAAAAAAAAACGATCATTAGTCACGTGACATTTAAATAACCTTTACGAGAGGGGAATCTGATTGGTCGATCGTTCGGTCGTTAAAATTATCACATAAATTCTTTGTATAATTTTTCACTTTAAAACAAAAAAAATCAACTTTTATTTATTTCGTTTGTTTAAACAAACATACATTTTTATTTCCGGTTTTTCGTCGCCATTTTTATTTAAGTACGCATAATAATAATTATAATACTAATAATAATAATAATAATAATAAATTTTATTTTAATTAAATAAAAATATAAAAAAAAATTTTTTTTTAAATAAGAAAATTGTTTGTTTTTTTTCCGTTTGTTTGTTCGATTCCTCTCATTTGCTTCTTTTTGTTTATTATCATTATTATTATTATTAATATTATTACCATTATTATTATTATTATTTTTCTTCGTTAAGATAATTTATGACGATGAAATATAAAAAAAAAAAAAAAACAAACGAATGAATGAATACAAAAATTATCATCGTTTTGTTTTTGTTTTTTGAATTTGCGTTTGCTTGTTTGTTTGTTTGTTTGTTTGTTATATATTTTTTTTTTTTTTTAATTAGAAAACACAAATCCCGGTCAAAGGAGTTTTTGTTTTTTTTTTTTTTTTTTTTTTTTGGGGAAACGTAAAAAAACTTCTTTTTCGATTTTATTTTTTCAATTACGGTTTGTAATTAAAAGAAAAAAAAAAGGAAGACGATTCGAGCATGTAATTTTTTAAATTTAAAATAAAAAAACCCGCGAAAAATAATTAAAAGTAAAAATACAAACAGTTATTATTATTATTATTATTTGAAAGTTGAACCGGAAATAATACAAAAATGAAAATAATAAAAAACCAAATTAGGTAGTCAGAAACAAATAAAAAAAATATTTTTTTTTTTCCGTTTGTTTCGACAGGTTTTTTTTTTGTTATGCATTTTCGATTCTTTTTGCGTAAAAGAAAAGTGGGAGGGAACAGATGGGGGGAAGAGGGGGGAAAGGAAGGGGAGAGGAAGGGAGGGGGGAAAACAATCAAGAAAAGTCATTTTGGAAAATTTAACATTTCACAAAAAGAAAAGTAAAATATTTGACAGGGTAACAAGTTTCTTCTGTCACAAACAAACAAACAACAATTTTCAAATTTTCAACAAAACAATAATTTAAAATATTGCATTTATGTAAATCGCCATTTTTTTTTTTTTGGGGGGGGGGTGAACATAAAATCGATAATCTCGTTCGATATCGATTTTTTTAAATCGATTTAAAAATTATCAAAATCAAGATGGAGAAAAATTTTTTACACCGAAAAATTATAACGTTTTTTTTAAAATCAACCCTCCGATCATTTGTAAACTTTTTAAAAACGTAAACGAACTTTTTTTGTCGTGTCAAAAGAAAATAATAATAATAATAATAAAATCATTCGAATTCTTTTTTTTGTTCTTTACGAAACAATTAATTACGAAACAAAAAACAATAAAAAAAAAAAAATTTTTTTTTTTTTTTTTTCAAAGTGTGATTTTGTTTGCGTAATCATTATTCTTCAATCAATAATCGATAATTGATTATCTACGTCATCGAAATTGAGGGGGAAAAAAAAAGAAAAAAATAATAATGATAATAATAATAATCATTATTGCCATTTTTATTTTTTTTGTTTAGTAGCGATCCCAACAACCGATAAATTTTAATTAAAAAAAAAAAAAAAAAATTTTTTTTCACCCGCATGAAAGTGAAATCAGAAATTTTTTTTTTTTTATTTTGTTTACGTAGTAATAATAATAATAATAATGATGATAATGATGACGATGATGATGATGATAAAATGAAATTTAAAAAAAATGAAAATTTTAAATTTAATTAACGGAAAAAAGTGAAAAATTTTACGTAAACGGGAAAATTTTTTACAGACGCAAAAAATATAAATAAAATAATAATTATAATTTATATTAATTAAATAAAGAATTTTCGTAATTTTTTGTGGTAAAAGTTTAGTAGTATAATTTAGTCAGTTTTAGTCAAACACTAAATTTATCACGAGTAATAATAATAATAATAGCAATAGAAAAATAAAAGGAAGAAAAAGTTTTTTTTTTTTTTTTTCGAAGGGTAATTAATATAAGTTCCCGTTTAAAAAAAAAAAAGAAAATTTTTTATAAAATTTAAATTAAAATTTTTTTTTTAAAAGTTTTGTATTCTTTTTATTACAATAGAAAAAAAAAACAAACAAAAAGTGACGTTTTATAATATATTAAATTTGTTAATCAGTTTTTGTTACCTCCCTTTTTTTTCCTTCTCTCTTCCCACCCACCTTCCCTTCTCCTCGAAAAAAAGAAAAACAAAATTTACGACATCGACGAAAAAAAAGTTTATTAAATGAAAACTTTTTCAAAAAAACGAATTGAAATCGTCTATATATATAAATTTAAACGTATAAAGAAATTTAAATAATAATAATAATAATAATAATAATAATAATAATGTTGATGATAATAATGATAATAATAATAATAATAATAATAATAAGGAAAACAAAGTTTTTTTTTTTTTTTGTAAGTAGAAGAAAATTTATTTAAATTTATATTTATTTACATGGTTTTTAAAGTTGTATATAAATGTTGACTTTTATTTTTTACTTTCGAGAATAAAGAAAGAAAGAGAAGAAGAGAGAGAGAGAGAGAGAAAGAAAAAGGTAAAACAATAAAAGAATGAATGTAAAAAAAAAAAAAGAAAGAAAAGTAAAAGTAAGGAAAAGTTGAAAAAAAAACGATAGAAAAGAGTTGAAGCAAACAAACAGAAGACAAAATAAAATGAAAAAAATTAAAGCAAATGAAACAAAAAAAAAAAAAAATTTGGAAAGCGGGAAAGGGGAAAGAAGAGATGGGGAGACAGAGGAATAAAAGAAAAGTAAAAGAAAATGATTATGAGGACAATGAGAAAGAAAAATAAGAAAAACAAATGAAAAAAATGAATCTTAAAATTTTCACATTACGTCCGAAATAAAAATCATTTTTTTTTTTTTTTGCCACAAACAAACAACCGACGACGTCGTTTACCCCTCCTCTCCCCCCGAAAAAAAAGTTACTCAACAACAACAACGACGACGACAACAACAACAATTTTTTTTTTTTCCTGTCTGTCGTAAATAACAGTTACGGAAATTAGTTAAATAACTTTCTTCATTTAAATTTTTTTTTTTTTTTCCAGTTTTACGATTTACAAAAAAAAAAAAAAAAACGAAAAAAAAATTATTATTATTATTATTATTATTATTATTATTATTATTATTATTATTTTTAACTTATAATTTTTCCTTTTAAATTTCCATTTTTTTTTCTCTCTCCTTTCCTCTCCCCCTCCCTCCTTCCCATTTTTTTTCCTTTCTTGCAAAAAAAAAAAAAAAGAAAAAAAAATTATATAAAAAGTTTTTTTTTTTTTTAAGTTAATGCTAATGCCACGACAATTTAAATGATAACGTCTTGAAATTTAATTTATTTTTATAAAAAAAAAAAATGCGTTTAATAATTTTTTTTTTTTTGTTTAAATAATTATCTGATAAATTTTTTTGTTTTACGTACACTTAATATTATTATTATTATTATCACACGTCCGAAAATTATTAATTTGAATTTTTCCCGCATAAAAAAAAAATATTTCGCAAACGCTGTAATCGTCGTTCGTGTCGTCGTAGCCAGCCACCATTTTTTTTTTTTTTTTTTTTCAAATGTATTTTTCTCTTTAATTTAACCGTCTGAACAATTATCTGTATAACAACAACAACAACAAGGACAACTTTTATAAATATATAAATGTTTTACAGTCAATGAGTTGTAATTATTCTGATGAATAAATAAAGTTTGTTTCTCTTTACATTCTCTCTCTCTCTCTTTCTCTTTCTCTATTATTATTATTATTATTATTATTATTTTCGAACGGCTAAAAAGAAAGTAGAAAAATACCTAATTATTTAAAGTACTTAAGAAAAACATTTTATTAAATAGGCAAATTAATTTTTTTTCATTTCATTTCTTTTTATTTATTTATTTAAAGCGTCGTCTGCTGCAAAAAAGAAAAATTTCAAAACGCACAAACGATTTGCAGACGAATTAAATAATTTTTTTTTCCCTCGTCGATTGATAAAAATACGCGACGTGAATAATGAAGGAAAAATTTTGTTTTTTTGCGACAAAAAATGTGCAAACAAAACGACGAACGTCGAGAATTCATCGTCGAACGTTCCGTCTGATACCTTTCGAAAAAATATAAAATAAAATCGATCATGATGATGATGATACTCCTTTTTTCTTCCTGAATTGTTATTATTATTATTATTATTATCATTATTATCATTAAAATAAATTTAAACGTAAGGAGAAAAAAAAAAATTTTTTTTCTATAATCCGAAAAATATGAAACCGTTAAGATTACGAAAGTTTCCTTTCAAAATTTATTATGACGTCATCAAATAAAATAATATTTATGTGGATATCAATAAATTCGTAGTGTTATTCGAACAATGTTGAAGTGATTTTCAATTTTTTCCTTTTTTTTCTTTAACCCCCCTCCCCTCTCCTTAAATGGGGTCGGAAAAATATTTCTTCGATATCGTTTTTTCATTTAATTCCCACCCACCTGATTGGACGTTCGATTAAAATTTAAAAATCGTTCGAATCGGAATAGCTTTTCAAACGTGGATATTTTGAAAGATGTTCGACATGGTAGGTAGACATATTTGAAAAAAGGAGGAACGAATCGGGATGGTTGGAAAACTTTGCGGGGAGTGGAAATCCAGTTTTAGCCAGATTTTTGTATATTAAATAGGGGAAGAATATTCGGGAATCTTTGATGGGATTGGGAAAGGGTCTACCCGATAGACTCGCGGTACTTTAGGAAAAATCTACGTGAGAGGTTGAAAGGTCATTTATCGAAAAATTACTCTCACTTTTCCCGGAAACTTGGAAACCTTGCAAAAGAAGAGGGGGCAAATATTTTGCTTTCGTTTTTTTGGAGGAATGCGAAGTCCTCCCCCATATGCTCAACATTATTTAATGTTTATATTCTTTCGCTTGCGTAATCGCGGGATAAATGTTACCCGTTTTGTGACAAAAACACGCTTCCGGTCACGTGATGACGTAGTGACGTGTTTGTCACTACCAAGTTTATGAATTTCTAGAGTGAAAGGAGCGAACTCTCTGATTCAAGTATTATTTTCGCTACTTCACTCCCCTTCGATGACACAAGTTTTAAAAGATGTTGATTTGAAAAACTTAAGTTCATAGGTCACTAATAAAAAAAAAAATGGCAACAATAATAATAATAATAATAATTTGTGAGAACAAATTAAATAAAAAAAAGAAAAAAAAGTTTTTCTCACGAAAAAAAAGACTGATTAAAAGATTTCGTGATTCTTATAAAAATTTTTAGCCAACAGATTTTTTTTTTCATTTTCTTTTTTGTTTCCTCCCCTTCCCCCTTTATTTTTTTTTTTCTGGTGACACTGTAAAAGCACTTAATCTGAGAAAAACCTACCTTGAAAAGGTTCGAAAATAAAAAAAAATAATTGAAAAGTTTTTTGTTTTTTTAAATGGAATCCTCTCTGTAAAAATGGATTTTTTTTTTATAATTGTTTGTTTTAGATTTTTCTTTTTTTCCATTATGACGTCATAACGAAAAAAAACTCACCGTTCATTTGTATGGAACCATTCCACCATTCGACGATGGGCACGGGTTTTCCACCACCAGATTCACATAAAAGTGAAAATGAATTTCCTTCAATGAATGGACCGATAAGAGAAGAATTTTGTACTTCGGATTCGTCACTTCTGCTTATTTTCAAATATTCCGGTTTAACTGAAAAAAAAAAAAAATTTTTCTTTTTGAATTTTCCGATCGAGTTGCGTGGGGGGAGGGAGAGGAAGGGGGTAAGAAAAAAAATAATAAAAAAATTTTTGGAGCAAGTGGTTGGCAAAAAAATTCAATTCTACTTTTTTTTTTTTTTAAAAAAAATCCCGATTTAAGAGTATTATTATTTTTACAAATCATTTAACAAAAAAATTTTTTTTTTTTTCTTTTACCCTTTATTCGTTTTGAAAATGAGCCTTTTTCTTTTTTTTGGGCATATAAAAAAAATAGGTGGGAGAAAGGGGGGGAAAGGGAAAAACGAACCGAAAAAAAAATGAAAATGAAAATTGAAAAAAAAAATCGAAAGGAAAAAAACGATTGTTAAATCGTGTACGTTTTTTCCCCGTGTCTCAATATTTTTCACGCGTGGCCGAAACTTAATAAAACAAATATAAAAAAAAATTTTTTTTTTTCTACTTCCTCCTCCTCCTTCTCCTCCTTTTATTTTTTCATCCCCTCCCTCCCTTTCTCCTTTTTCCTTCATCCTTTTTGTGCTTTTGAATTCGGATGAATGATTTGTTCAATTGTTGTTGTTGTTGTTGTTACTGTGTTGTTTACACTGAATTATTTTTTACTTTTAAAATAATAAAACATTTATTCTCTCTCTCTCTCTTTCTCCCTCTTGCGTGTGCATACGAAATTGTTTTTTTTTCGTTTCGAATCGGAGATCAAAAATTTTTTTTGAAAATATGAGAATCCCTTTGATTCTCATTTTGTTTCTTTATGAAATTATAAATTAAATCTCTTCTTATTAAAACAATAAAGTCAAATGTTAAACATGAGTTTCCAACTTTTTTTTAGAATGTGTGCGAGTTTAAGGAAAAATAAAAAAAAATTTTTTTTTTTTTCATTCGTTTTCCTCATTAAATTTGAAACCTTAAAAAAATAACTTTCGTCATAATTAAAAATTAACCGATTTGATTTGTATTTAAATTTTTTTTCCCGCCCATTAAATAAATTATCGTGGTAGTAATGATGATGATGATAATAATAATAATAGACAAAAACGATTCCGATTATTACTTGAGAGGAGTGCTGTGAGGTGCACACTAAAATTTTAAAGAAAAAACCGGAAATTACGTTTTGAAAGGGAGGACCCACATTCTTGGTTAGCCGAAAAAATTCCGATAAATACATTCGACAAATCCTGCGTTCGCTGCGACAATAATAATAATAATAATAATAATATTATTATTATTATTATTATAATGCGTAAAAAGATTTTTGAGGGAAAATGATTTTTTTAAAAATAAGTCACGGTAAACCATTTATAGGAACGTTTTAAAGAATTAAATTTGTGGGTAGAAAAAAAAAGAAACCTAAAGAAAGATTTGGAATTTAAAAAAAAGAAAAAAAAAGGGAGAAAAAGCGAGGAAGAAAGAGAGAGAGAGAGAGAGAGAGAGAGAGAGAGAGAGAGAGAGAAGGAAAACAGCAAACTATAAAAAAAAAAAAAAGATAGAAGCAATTACTGGAATTTTTTCTTTTTTTTTTTTCAATTCGACGGATTCAATTAAAAACTATTAATTACGATGACGATGATGATGATAATGATGATGATGATGATGATGATAATAGTTTTTTTTTCTTTTCTGTTTTTAATGATTTCAACGGTGACGTAAACGCGACCTGATGATGATTATCCCGGTTATTTATTTACTCACGTTAATTTTATTATTTTTTATGTTTTTAATTTCCTTTTGCGCGTTTCAAAATTTGCGCATTACGTACGTGTCATCATCATCATCATCATTATCATTATCATTATCATCATTATCATTCCTCGTTAATTTTCAAACGAGTAGAAAAAAAAAAATTTATTTTAACATTTTAATTACACGTATTAATTTTCTTTTCTTTTCTTTTCTTTTTTTTAATAATTTTCCTCGTATTGTTTAAAGTTCAAAAATTAACACCGAACACACACGCACGTGTACTTACACGTGTACATTTATTATAATTTATATTAAACAATGTTTTTACATTATTAATTCGATTTGTTTCCGTCGTATTTTACCAACCGAACAAAAAAAAAACAACAACGAGTGAAATAAATAAGTCTTCATTTTACGTAAAACATTTTATTTTTTTTTTGAAAGGGGGAGGGAAAAAGGGGAAAGGGGAGGAAAAAGTTTCACCTTTTCTCATTTATTTTTTCCTTTCCTTCATTTTCCTCCCTACTCCTCTTCCCCTTTCTTCTCCCTTTTTTTTTTTTTTTTTTAGTACCTTTTTCGTTTGGTTTTTCTTTTTCATTGTTTTATAATACGCGCCATTTCATCGTGTTTTGGTTTTTTTTTTTTTTTTTACAAAATTGTCGGCAATTTCGATTCAACTCCACGCGTGGCACACACACACAAAAAATAGTTCGTTATTCTTTTGGGGATTTCCAAACGTTTATTTCAACGTAAAAATAGCGTAATAAAAAAAGGAAAGAAAAAAAAAATTTTTTTTTCTTTTCCTTTTCCTTTTCTTTTCCCTTTCCCCCCCCCCCATTCCTCCCCTTCACCGCCAACATTTCGTTTTTTTTTTTTCTTTTGAACCTTTGAGATTTGAAATCTTTTTATTCGATGTTACGCAATGAAAAGAGAGAAAGAGAGAGAGAGAAAGAGAAAGGGTATTACTAAACTCGTTGAAAGATTTACGGAAAAATTTTTTTTATTTTATTTTGTCAACAGAAAAGCGAAGAGAGAGAGAGAGAGAGAGAGAGAAGGGGGACGATGAAAGCATTAAAAAAAAACATTTATTTATTATTATTATTATTATTTGAAATTATTTATTTTTACGGATTTTGTGATGCTGTTGCTGTTGCTGCTGTCGTTGACAATATTTTCAAAAAACGATGACGGCTTGTCTCGCAACAGAAAAAAAAATATCATTTTCATAAAAATTTATAGGAAAATATTTTCGTTAAGTAATTAAATCGATCAAAAGTTATTATTCATAAATTTTTTTTCCATCATCTCCGTCCGCCATTTTGATATTTAAACTACGCGTAACGATTTATTGACATTTTTATGCGTTATATATAAAAAAATTGAATCGATTAAACGTTAGATTATTTTTTTTTGGGGAGGTTTTTTTTTCGTCGTTTTTTTTAACGTGGCATTAACATTCGTACAAAAAAATAAAAATTAATTGGACGAAAGTTTTTTCCTTTTTTTTTTTTTTTTTACAATCCTTAATAAAATAATTAAAATATAAATTTTTTAAAATATACATATATACGTACGTTCAGAAAAGAATTTTCTACTTTAATGCTCGAAAAGTGAAACGAAATGTGAAATTACAAGAAAACACAACAACATGCATAGAAAAAAAAGGGGAAAAAAGTAAAAAAAAAAAAAAAGAAAGAAAGAAAAGAAAGAGTAAGAGAGAGGGGGAGAGAGAGAGAGGAAAGAAAAATTTTAAAAAGGTTTTTCACAAAAGCAGATGGTACAAGTAAATTTAAAACCGGAAAAATAGGGAAAAAGGTTCCTGCGGTTTAAAACGCCAAATTCCCCCTCGACCTCACCTCACAACCCACCTCCCACCCCCCGCGCTCTCGATTTCAGGCACGCAATTAAAAAAGGAAAAATTTTTTTTTTTTTTGCAAAACCCCGGAAAAAAACAAATTGAAAACAATTATTCAATTTAATAAAACAAAAAAAAAAATAATAATTAATTAAAACAAATTTATCATAAGACGAAATTTTATTAAGTAAAGTGTTTTTTATTTTGAAAAAAAAAAAAAAAAATCGTCTGCTTTTATTAAAACAACAACAACAACAACACTACAACAAATAAGAGCAATACAATAGAAAAAAAAAAAATTTCTGATTTTGACAATTGTATATTGCTTTCATTTTATAAATAAATAAATAAAAATTGAAAAAAATTATTTTATTTTTTTTTACTCTTAAATTATTATTATTATTATTATTATTATTATTATCATTTATTTTATTTTTGTTTGTTGTTGTTGTTGTTGTTCCCAAATTAATAATAATTTCACTTTCATATTAAATAAAAATAATTAAAAAAAAAATAACAAAATTCGTTCGGTACATCAATTTTTTTATTTCCTCCGACTTTTTCTTTATACTAAAAAAAAGTTTTTTCGAATCAGGGTTGCCAATCATTTTCTTAAAAAAAAAAAAAAAAACAATAAAAATCTAACGAACGTCAATGAAGAATTTTTTTTAACGAAATCGAAAAACAAAAATTTTAAAAACAAAAAAAAACAAAACAAAAGGAAACTTTTTTTTTTTTTCATCTTTCTGATTTCTTTTCTTTCATTCATTTCTCTACGTTTCCCCACTCTCATTACCCTCCCCCTTCCACTCTCACTCTGTCTCCACCTCTTTTCCCTCTTCATCGTCAAATTATCTTCTGCTTTTAAATATATTTTAATTAGAAAATTTTCCAAATTGAAAAACGTTAAATTGTTATTTTAATTATTGACATCCATTTATTATTATTATTATTATTGTTATTATTATTATTATTATTATTATTATTATTATTATTATTATTATTATCATTGTAATTTTCTCAATGATTATCGCTTTTTAATCATTATCATCATCATTTTTTGTATTTTTCTTTTTTTTTTACTCCCCTCTTCCTAAATTTCATTGTTTTAGAAAATTTATAAACAATACAGAGCAAAAAAAATTCTCGTTTCTGATTGATCGGATCGTTCGGTCTTTACAAAAAAATTAAAATGTAATAACGTTATCGGAATTGATTATTATCATCATCATCACTTTTATAAAAGGGTAATTTTTTCGCAAAAAAAATAAATAATAATAATAATAATAATAATAATAATAATAATAATAATAATAATAATAATAGTAAATACGGTGAATTTCGTTTATAATTTGCAAAAAGTACGACTATGGCGACGTCGATGATGACGTAGACGATGACGTAGACGAACAACAATAGATTATTTTTATAGACTCAAAACACGAGTTAAAAATTTATAGTGCTTTTTTATAAAAATATTATCATTATTTTTTTTAAAAACAGTAAAAAAAAACGATATATAGCGCTATTATAACTGTCAGTATACGACAAATAATTTTTTTTTTTTACGTGGATTCTATAGAGGAAGAGTAGAAAACAAATAAAAAAAAATGGAGGATTTCACAACAATAACAAAACATAAAATAAAACTGTTCGATTGTAATTATCATTACTACAACGAGAATACTAAAAAAAAAAAAAAAACTCGGGTAGCAGGTGATGAAAATTTTCAAAAGCTTTTTAATGCTCGATGGGTACTTTATCGTTTAACCCTAAATTATAAACGTAACGATGTTAATGGAGGCCTTTTTAAATGAGCACAAACGGAAATTTACTTTAAACTCGATCGAATTAATTTTTTTTTAAATCGAATATATGTTTTGTATTATGACGTCATCGTGAGAAAGTCTATACGGATTAATATTACGACGTTACGTTTGTTTATAAGAAAAAAAATCGCATTGGTGGTGGTGATGGTGGTGATGGGGGTGGCGGTGGTAAAGGGGTTGGTGATAGTGGTGGTGGTGACAGTAAAAAAAAAGCTTTAGTACGTTTTTTATTTTGTTTATTCGAGTTTTCTATTCCGCTTGAATTATTTAACCGGAATCCGATTTAAAAAAATTTTCAAGGAATAATTATTTAACAACTTTTTTTTTTTTTTTAAAGTCATTTTTTCCACTAAAAGAAAAAAAAATGGCGATAATA